GGTCGCCACAGCAAATTGACACTGAGTGTCCAAGGCCGGGGCACCCGCCCAGAGCCTCTTTCTAGAGGCCGTTGTATTTATTTCCACAACGGGCCTTTCCCCTAGTTTAACAATAATAAAGTGCTCAATGATGTTACCAATTTAGTCAAATCAAGATGGTGACCTATAGATGTACCCAAAAAGCCCGCTTCAACGACACCGATCCATTGCAGTACTGTAGCGAGATCTTTATACGGGGCCAACCCATCACCCCGTCGTTACTACAAGATAGTTGGTGGTGGTGGCAGTGGTGGCTCCTAATTAAGAGCCTGGCGGAAGAGCTCCGTCTTGCAGGCCCTGCAGAACTGTGAGAGCTCCCGCAGGGCCCTGATCTCCTCTGGGAGCTCGTTCCACCAGGTAGGAGCCGCCACTGAAAAGGCCTTGGCCCTGGTTGCCACAAGCCTGGCCTCCCTGGGACCTGGGATCACTAAGCGATGTTGGCCCCCCAACCGTAGTGCTCTCGTGGGTATGTATTATCAACAACAACAACAACAACAACAACAATAATAATATCGCCCTATCCACACTTGCACCAGGTTCTGGGTGATGTACGGTATGACATAAGTCTTAGGAACAGTACTACAACATGACATTAAGTCTTAGAAACAATATAAAACCATCAAATCTCATAAGATTAATAAAATTAAAACCAATTTTAAACAAATTCAAATTCAAGATGGTGTCACTAGGATCTATACAATTGAAAAACTGTAGTTCTGAAAGATCTTTGGTCACTTCCGAAGTTTATTTATTTTATTTATTTATTTTTGTATTTATACCCCACCCTCCCCTCGAATGGGCTCAGGGCGGCTTACAAGAGGGCAAAATATGCCCATACTTAAAAACAGGGTAAAAACAATAAAACCAACTATTACAAATAAAGTGCTCAAATTTAAACAAGATGGTCATTCATTAGAGGTAGGTGGTTTTTCATGGAGGTAGGTAGGGTCAAGTAGATGTTAAACAGTAGATGTTAAACTTTTTGGTTTGTTGGAACCATGTTGGAAAACCGTTGCTGTCCCTAACCAAAAGCCTGGTGGAACATCTCCGTCTTACAGGCCCTGTGGAACTGCATAAGGTCCTGCAGGGCTCTGACAGTATCAGGCAAAGAGTTCCACCAGGTCGGAGCCAGGACCGAAAAGGCCCTGAGCAGGAACAGACAGACCTCTTTGGGGCTAGGGATCACCAGTAAGTTGTTATCTGCGGAGTGTAATGCTCTCCTGGGGGACCAATGTTCCCTCTAAGCTGTGGAGTCTTGTGAGCAAAAATTCTACTTTGTGAACTACTGGCATTCAAGCTGTGAGCGAGCAATCTGACTACTGCGTAAGTTAGTCTGCTCTGGAGCCCTCCTCCCAGAGCTTAGACAAAAACATGTGAGCTGGAGGCTAAAAAACTCTGAGCTAGCTCACACTCACTCAGCTTAGAGGGAACACTGCTGGCGACATAATGGAGGAGACGGTCCCGCAGTTACCAACCCCCTTTTCCCGTAAGCAGCAGCAACAACCGAGCCTCGGACCTACACCAGGGATGGTCACTGGCAGCCCTCAGGCCGACTCCATCCCAGAAAGCAATTATAGCTGGGTGCTGGTGGGCCTACCAACTTATCTTTCTCCCCATATCAAATAATGGCAACCCTCTACTCTGGGGTCATTTCGTAGAAAAAGAGGTGCAGGAGCTCATTAGCATAACTCATTAGCATAACTTATTTGCATATGCCACACCCCCTGACATCACTGGAAGTGTGTCAGAAGGCCACACCCACCACTCAGGCTCCACTGGACTGTTTTGGACGGCTAGCTATTGGGGGGGGGGAACGTGCAGATCTGTCCTCGCAGAGGAGAGAGAGCTTGTACCTGAATAAAACTTGGTCTTAAAGGTGCCACTGGACTGTTTTGGACCAGGGCCCCGGGGGGGGGGGCTCTGCAACTCACCTGGCTGCTTCTTGCTCTGACTGAGGGCTGCTGGGAGCAGGGGGTGGGGCTTGTTGCATGTGCCCGCCCCCTAGGCTCTTTACTGCTGGAGCTCCGCTCCTGTGCGCTCCTGCAGGAAATAGCCCCTGCCTCTACTGATCCGTCGCTTTCTGTACATTCGAGTTCGGTAGCACCGTAGAAACCAACAAGGGGTGTCAACTTCTGAGAGTCAAAGCTTCCTGATACCCCAAAGCTTGTACCCCTCCTGATCCTGTTGGTCTCTAAGGCGCTCCTGAACTCCAATCTAGCTGTTCTACTGCAGGCCAAGATGGCTCCCCTCTGAAACATCGGTCCACGTCTCTCGAGTTCCATTTTGAACCTGAGACTCATCTCCAAAGGCATCTGGCTTCTAAAGGCTGCAGCGACGTCCTCGACTGGTTTAATGACTCAGAAGCGGCCCCTTCTCTGCGCATGGCCCCTCCCGGGAAGGAACCCTTCAAAGACCTCTTAACTCCTTCAGGTACCTCCCTGTCTTGGCCTCTGAAACTCAAGGCCCCCTCAAACTGGTCTGTGACACCTACACTCAGCCTGAGATGAGCGCATCAAGAGCTTATTGCCCACAAAGTGTCCGTCTTCTGCCTGCATTTGCCAGTAACCACATCAGAGGTCTGTTGTGCAAAAGAGCATTTAACTCGTGCCCTCGGAGTTCCATTGAAAGTGGAGCTCTTGTCTTACAAACGTAAGAACATAACATAAGAACACAAGAGAAGCCAATGTTGGATCAGGCCAATGGCCTATCTAGTCCAACGCTCTGTTACGCAGTGGCCAAAAATACCAGTTTGCCATCAGGAGGTCCACCAGTGGGGACCTCCATAGTGAACACTATGGTTCACATCCTGTCTTGATCAGAGCACCGACAATACACCAATGCAGAGCTTAAATTACTGCACGGTTCCCGATCTCCTCTGCTTAAGATCTTCCTGATGCCAATAACCCCTTATCTATACCTGGGGGGTGATTCCTGACTCCAAGTATGTGGTGGGTCTCCAGGGACATACCCTATTGCCCCCCCCCACCGCCAACCATCCAAAACCACCTTCCTATTGTTGCCGTGCCTTCCTGGTGGGCACTCACCCCCGATCCGGCTGTCTTCTCTGTCCAGGTATTTCATCCACATTTGCCTCCCTTTTTCATCATCGCTGCAAGAAACAGAGAAGTCGGAAGAAGATCAGAAGCTGAACCCCTCAGCCCTTTCCAGGACCGTCGGGCATGCCTGATTCTTATTTCTCAGCCTAACTGATTTCTATCTCCCCTCCCTCTTGGATGGCTGCTGAAGACGCTGACAAAATCAATATGCTGTTCTACAATAAAACTTAGCAGCAGAGAACAACAGCTCTTTAAGTTCTAATCTGCACTGTTTACCTGAAAGGAAGACTGTGGCTGATTTCGCACTAGAGCTGCCTCGATGTTGCACCGCCGTTTGCCCCGATACTATTGGTCTATTTCACACCCAAAGCTGCGGGGCTGCATTTTGACTCGTGGCTTCACCCGATTTCCCCCGCCATTTCGTGATCCCGTTTTGAGGATCACGAAACTGCGGAGGAAATCAGGCGAAGCCGTGGGTCAAATGCAGCCCCACGGCTTCGGGTGTGAAATTGACCAATAGTATCAGGGCAAACGGCGGCGCAACATCAAGGCAGCTCTAATGCGAAATCAGCCTAGATTTCTCCCCAGAAGTGCCATCAAGAAAAAAAGGGGATTGTCTCAAATTCATGTACAAGTTACAGGTATGTATGGCAATAAAAAAAACCTTTGGGTATAACATGGGGGGGGGGGTTTCTTCCCTTCTGTTCCTTGCTACAGAGGTAGATGCTCTTGCAGCATGTCTACACTATTGATTTATATTGGTTTTTATGACTTTAACTGTCACGGTTCCCTCCCCCCGCCAAGAAACCTGGGAACTGGAATTTGGCACAGTCCTAAGAATTCTTGGTTAGAAGGCCTTCTTCTATCTCCCACAAAACTACAATTCCCAAGATTCCTTGGGAAGAATGTCAAGCAAATTTAAGTCTGTGGTGCGGCTCTCCTTGAACCTGTCTCCTTGCAAGAAAGATGAGCATCTTATTCAACATGAGAACCACTCTACCAGACATGATAGGACACAGGGGTTACAAATACAAACATTCTCAGCAAAGAGTGCAATGGAGCAGAATCATATAAGTCCAAACTATACCATAGAATGTGGATCAATAAACCCACAAAACGGATGTAGGGGACAGACAGGGGCAATTTCTCTACAAACCTGAAGGAAATTCCAGGTTTGCAGGAAAATGCGAAATCTTTAAAAAAGAGAAAAAAAAGGCACAACCGGACCACTGTCAACTGGCCTTGATAAGGCCAGCAGATGGCAGGCACCGCACAACCCAGCCAGAAGTTTCCCGGGAGAGGCTGCAAGGGGGAGGGAAGGAGGGAAAACTAAAGATGGAGGAAGCAAATAAAGGTAGGTTGGCTGGTGGGTGGGAAGGAGAGAGGGAAGCAGGCAAAGGGGAGAGGCTACGGGGGCTGCCAGGGAAGGGAAACAGGAAATAGTGGGGGAGAGGATGGAGGAGAAAACGAGATGCCCTCCCGCCGCAAGTCCTTGTGGGTGCCCTGCTTGCCAGGACCTAATCCAACGCCTTTCCCCTTGGCCTGCTCTTCCCTGGTTTGCCACATTCCACCACAACTCACGGGAGATGGTCCAGATTGTCGCTGCTGGCCTTGGGGCGCACCAAGACCCGGTTCACTTCGCTGTGGAGCCCGTCGAGGAGGAACCGCAAGAATTCCTGAGCATCTTGCTGGCTGCAAAGAGAGAAAAGGCCGGTGTTATTATCCCTATCTCTCCTGAGAGCAAATCAGGTTCCACCAATGGGTTCAGGGGGCTCTATGCTGTAAGGCAGCCAATAATGTGCATGAGGATCCAGCGCCTCTCTGCAACTCTTATAGTAGCCACCCATTTGCCACCACTCCAGGACCAAACGTGCTTGACGTAACAGCCACACAGAATAAACATCAGAAACACACCTTTTTATTGAAAAAATATGCAAATTTGCTTTTTATTAACATTCAATTAGACTGTGTGAAAGAGCCACATGCGGCTACCGAACTGCAGTTTGGCCACCCCTGCTCAAGGGCTACATTTTCTTGCGTCTTCCCTGCGTCCACGATGAGGCTTTTCAATCAAACACACGCGGCAAGTTCCATGCTCAGAGCTCAGTTCCCAGATGCATGGGAGCTTGATTTCGATCAGGATCACCGTGTACAAGGGGGATTGAAGCTTCCCCCCCCATTATATCACATATGAACGCATGAATTCATGAAAGCTGCCTTATACGGAACCAGACCATCGGTCCATCAAGGTCAGTATTGTCTACTCAGACTGGTGGTGGCTCCCTGGGGTCTCAGGTGGAGGTCTTTCACCTCACCTGCTCTCTGGTCCTTTCCACTGGACTGAACCCGGGACCTTCTGCATGTCAAGCAGATGCTCTACCGCTGAGTCGTGGGCCTTGCCCATTTTCCTGACCTACATAGCCCCAAGAAGCCACTATCTGCCCCACTGGAGAAGCTTACCACCAACTTGTGGAGTTAATAGAAGCACAGGGCAGTTTTAAGCTGTGCCGGGGAGGAAGAATTAACCCTCCTCTCCCCAATACCAATCAGGGCTGCTTGCAGTTGTAATTTAGCTTTAAAGTCCCTGGGAAGATCCAAACATGGAACACTAAGACATGGATTAACCCTTCAGCCCTGGTGTACACACACCTGGTGTGTGTGTGTGTGTGTGTGAGAAAGAGAGAGAGAGAGAGAGAGAGACAGAGA